TCTTTGCTGTCTCATTGAATACTATGGAAACTATTAAGCCTGGATTACCTTTTTTCAAGTGGAAACTAATTGACGGATCATAATTTTTTGCGTTTAGGTTATGGATAGGGTAAGAGTTATTTTTATAGGGGTGAGTTGTCGGCTTATTAGGAGTTAGGAATCGTCATGCATACGATCAGTGGCTACAAAACCCAAGTCAGACAGAACTGAAAGAGTAGAGTTATTTTCAGGAACAACTGTGCAGTAGTCTGAGCTCAAAAACAAGGTTAAACGTCAATTTCTTCTCTTTTTTTGCAGATAATTCACATTCCGTCTCAGGAGAAATTCTAACTTTTCTTTACTTCAAAACTGTTTTCAAACCTCAATAATAGGGCAAAGCATGGCATAAGGTTTGAAAATGTCCTTGGGTAACACCTTACATTGAAACTTTCACCTGCGAAAGATTTGTTTTGAGTAAAAGTTTCAAAATTGTCTTTTTGAATAGTTCACATGTTGTCCAAATATTCCAGCAGCGTTCACCTTTCCAATTGCTTATCGATTCACGACTGTCATCAGGAGAAGCAATATCAATGCGCACTTGTACAAATATTATTTTTCGTCTTACTTGACTGCTTAGAATCATCTTCTTTCGTCCTTGATTAAACAAATACGTCTGACTAAACGATTTTAATAGCTGTTTCATTATGTTCACCGCCTTAATTTGGGTGAAAATGCCAACATCTTACAGAAAATTTACAATTCAACCGTTGGACGCGACATTTTACAGAGAAGTTTTTGAAGGTCGGAAATGCAAAAACAAACTACAAAACCTCCATTAAGATCACCTATGTTCAAGCTGCAATATTTGCATTACATTCCTAATGTTTAAAGCTCATATTTCGGCCTCTTTGAAAAAATTCCATGTAGAGTATTTTAGCATTAAAGCGTTTTGGAGATATGGGTGTTTTAAGTTGTTATTCACAAATACCGATTCCGTTGCTAACCAGATCACAAATAAGTATCTGAAATATTTCCCTCCTATCTTGTTCAATATTTTGGCACATTTTCCTTCTTACTACGTAGAATCAAAAACATTTTCTCTCTAAGTAACAAATATAATGCAAGGGGAAAGCACCCGGGTAATCATCATGTTTAAATCCCTTTTAAATGATATGTATATGCCTGAAGTTTCTGATCTATCTTCTGCATGTATTTCTGGGCGAACTTCTATTAGCTTGCACCAGTATTTGAATAACGGTACGAATCACTTCACCGGCTTCCAACCTCTTTTTTAACTCTCAGTCCAACCACACTAAAAAGTGCTAGCCACAAGGAAGCTGCAGTGAAAGATATCATAAAATTACATATTGTACTTTATTCATGACATGCGATTGTTTCTTTAGCCGAATTTCTTTTTATCCTGTGGCGAACACACACGCCGAATCCCACGACTGGACAGAAGATAAGCATTGAAAAGTCTGTTGTTGCTAAATCAAGCTTTCCGGAGCAAATTCGTTTTAGGTTTAATAAAGAAAAAACAATTGTACTTTCAAATGAGAATCTAAGGAGCCCAATATCACACGAAAAAGAAAAAAAAAAAAAAAAGAATGTACTCGTACGACCAAAGCGCATAAAGTGCTCGAACACTTTCATAGTCAACGCGCACAAATTTACACCTTGAGATTCTAAATAAAGTCAAAACTACACTGAATTAACTTCCGTGAGGTTTGTATCATTTCGTACTAGATTTGCGAGTAATTAACTCTTCACATTATTCAAAAGTGTTCAACTCCATTTACTTTTTCTCATCACTGGAAATTTCACGCTGAAGCTATCTACTTTAATCTTCTCGTTTTAAATAGAGCTTGAGATGTCATTAAACTGATCTGTTTTATCAGCGGGCAAGTACAAAGTGGATTTGCACATCAGCATTTCCGTCTTTCGTATCGAAATCAAATTAATCCACAATTTGTACCTAAACTTCACGCAAAATCCTTCAAAAAGAAAGAAATTTAGAAATTAGAGAGCGATATTCTGGAGGAGAAAAATGGAGTCTTGCAAATGCCATTTGCGATCTCCATTTCTGAGCATGTTCTTAAAGAAACACTACAAGTAATCCATCTCGTGGGCAAATTTGCGTGATTCTATTTTCGGATCAATTCTTTTGCTTTCACTCATCTCTCTACTACTCAAAAGATTTGAATTCGATAGCATTGTGGAACAAACTAATGAGCCGATGGAATTTATATATTTTGATCTACAGCTGATTGGAATTTTCGGACACAATATTATCACGCAAGGGATTAATTTAATGAAAAGCTGTGTTCTTAGTTTGGCAATATTGCCCGCTCCGGATAACTCTCGAAAAGTTCCAGTTTGCATTTTTAGAGATTAAACAAAATGTCAAACACTTGAAGGCTGTATTAATTCGGCAAATGGCACGCATCTGCTAAACCACAACATTTATATAGCATCGCGCTTCAAATAACTTGTTTTATCTTCATCACGACACGTTTGACGTGTGGCTTCGTGGCTAAGCATAATTTATCATTTACACTAAGAACAGTGCCATTTCACAGTGAGACCATTTTAGTGAAAAATCAACGAAAACATTTCAACGAAAGCCCTAACTTACATATGAATAAATTTTGGTCCCTGAGCCACGTTATCAACGAACAAGTTCTCTATAGTGCCTCATACTTAATCCATTGAGCATTACTGTGGAGAAATTGCAATCCATTCCTTGAAAACCACAAATTTGCAGTCTTCGTTTCAATAATTGTTTTCACCTGCAAAACTTGTAAAACCTTGTATCATCTTTGGAATTTTAAAAAAAGGGAAAAGAAGAAAATGGAAGTTGGTTTACCTCATAATGATATGGTGCGATTGAGAAACCCAAGAAAATAATAGAAATTAATTGTCCTTTATTTTTCTACTTAGAATTGAAAGAGAAGAAAGCTTTAGGAAGTAATTTCAAGCTCACCACGTTGCAACTGCTAATCGATTTTACAATTTGGACGGTAAATAGACCATTTCAGTTCGAATTTTTGAGAACACTCCCTAGAATGACTGCTGACGTTTCAAGAATCGACAGCGAATGAACCTCATTGGTCAACGAAGAGTTACACAAATGTCTAATATTCAAGAAATATCTATCAATTCAAGGCGAAACTTCAACCTGTTTTTTTTTTTTCTCTTTATCTTTTTTCCTGTCAGTTTTTTACGTTTTTTTCATATCACTGTTTAATTAGGTAAAATTTCCCTCAGGGGGTGCGGCACCATGGTACTCTGAAAGAGACAGGGCTCCAAAACGCAATTTCATGGAAGAGACACCAAATGGATGAAATCATTCCTCTGTTTGATTTTTTTTTTTCCATCGTGTCCAAAACTACCTTTTGTTTAAGGGAGTCAAAAAAATTATTGTTGGGTGAGATGCAGAACTGATGACAAAAAGATGGTTAAGAATTGAGATAATTTTAAAAACGAAATATCGAAGGTTAAACGTGAAAATTTCAACCTACATCTTAAAAGTAGCACAGAGTGTGACTAAGTTCATTTCAAGATCCCTAAAGTGTTCGAAAACCGAAAATCCACATTACTTCATTCTTATTTTAGTTAGACGCGTCACATGGATTTTGAATCACTAATACTTTTTGAAATTTAAATTAGGCCTTGCAAATGAATAGGATGGAAAAATTTAATGAACATTCTTGGTAAACATAATGCTAATTCAAAGCTACCTGTTTAACGCCAAACGATCCATTAAAAACTTCGAGTCAATTAACATAAACACTTTGTTTTCGACTGGAGTTTTCCTATTGCGAAAAGTAAACAAACTGCCTTCGCACCTACTGAAAACAAAATTTACCTTTTCCCACTGTGAGATAAAAATGTTTGTCCAGGGCAGTTACAAAATCTAAAGTATGTTATAATTTACGCCGCAAAATGTGTTGTACCCTCCCTGAACACAATAGGAAATAAGTAATTTAATGTCCAACAATGGCTTATTCAAAAAGTGTAATTACACATTGTGGGGTTTCCGAACGAGTATGCACATTTACGCTTATGAAGTGGTTCATTACGACAAACTCTTCCCGAAAATTCGAGATTTCGTTTCAGAATTCTAACTTAATTTAAATAGAATTGTAAAATCGGAAACTAAATGTCTTTGAATAATTGTAACGAGCGATGTTATTGTACCTGATAATTTCTTACCTGTAAAGCAAACAATCTTCGTAGAGTCTGTTGAAATCTTCGCGCGAGATCAACTTGCAGCGATTTACGACTTGACCTATGGCTCCAACACTTCGCATCATGCGAACTTGCTCCACGTTGCAGTTCTTTCCTTGAATGTTCATCCGTTTGAGTTTTGTGTACACAGTGTGCATTCCAGACACAAGATCCTTCAGAAAATACTCATACACTTGCGGAAAGCAAAGCAAATCTTCCCCCTCGACGTTGAAGGCGGCGATTTCTTCCCCGTTCAAATTTACCATTTTCAATTTGTAATCGCTCCCGTACGGTAATGTAGGAGTTTCCACTTCAATCGACTCGTAATGGTTTGGCGTTTGAGGAGAATACACTGGCGGCTCCATGTTTTTTTTATGCCGGAGTTGCTGATCGCCGCAGTGCGCAATTGTGTAACCGGCTCAGCGCATGCAAAAGTACTAATAGTAAACTCCAAGAATCAACAACTGTTAAATTTTGACAATGTCTAACCACGTGGGTAAACTTAAAAATCCCGCAATGCTCATGCGTTAGAAGGTAGCCACGCCCAAAAATCACAGGCCGCTGATAGGCGATTGGTAGAAATTAGCGAGACTGTCATCAATCAGTCTGAAGTTAGATTTGTGATGTTTTCTTCTGCTGGGAAGAAGAGTTTTTTCTTACACTAACAATCGCACCCGGGAATCAATTTTCAGATTTGATATTTGCCAGTGTGGCGTGGGTAGCTCTTGGTTTGCGTGGAGCGAATCATAAAGCTTTCGTGTGTTTGGCATATTTTTATGGACATTCCAAGACAAAATTGAATTGACTTAGATAATTACACATCAGGAAAATGGGTCATTTAGTAAATAGCTCGCTCCCGGAAACGCCAAGATCTGTAACAGTGTATTGTTTTCATGATAATCTGAGCTTGCATTTGCCAAATGGAATATGAATGATTTTGACAGATTTGCAGACTTGGGCACAGGCATTTTTAACGCGTTGATCGAAATGTGTGCTTCTGTATGCGATATTTGATCAATATCATAGATTAATGGTTAAAAATAGAATGTTTTGGTTGTGAACTTGATTTGTTAAGTCAATTCTGTGTATTATTTGTGAATTCCTTTCTCACGGCGTATGATTTTGTTGATAACAGAATTCAGCGACATTGAACAGGAATACGTCAAAATCAAATCTGATTGATCCTTTTTCTACCAACAGTAACTCAACTCATTTTCGCCTTGCAGATCACGTCTCAAAACCCTAAATATCATTCTCTTTGAAAGAAACACGACCTAATTTTGTAGATTCATTGGGTTTCTTTGTGTGGTGGTAAAAAGCATTGCATAAATACACCCTTGAACCGTGCTTAGCTTTGTAAAACCACATTAAACAATAAGAGACTGAGGTGTCAGAATTTCAATTAACGTGAAATAACTCAGTCGCCGTTTTCAATAAATCAGAAACATTCTGAGGAATGAAACTTGAGGAGAAAAGCCTCAATTATTTCGAAAGCTGGGCACGAAAGCCAAAGATTCTTTCAAAACGTTCTAGCTCTTGCAGTTTCCAAATTTTTAAGCGGCAAACTTTACTCGACATTAATTGTTTTCTGTTCAAACATTTAGCTAAGTAAATTCTAAGAATCCTGTTGGTCGAAATGTGATATTTTGACAATACATATTCACTCAGCGCCAGTGTTATTATTGTTTTGTATTCTGTGATTTTCAGCATGATAACACAATTGCCGGCTTCCCTTTTGTCACGGTAATTTCAATGCATGGCTTATTTGCTGATTTGAACAAAAGCCTGCTCTGAACTCAAAACCCCACAGGCGAACGCGTCTCTGGAAAACAAACAAAAAACCCGAAGTTTTAATAAAGCCATGATCTTAACTTAAACATGATGATGCTTCTTGGCATACATATTGAAGTCATTACCTTTGTTGTCAAGCCAATATCATTTAATTGCCCAAGTTTCATTCAAAAAGCGCCCGTTGCATTCCATTTCAAAATGCTCACGTTATCTGTTGAGAAATACAGAAGCTCTGGATCTTAAAACGTATATTTTATGCAACAAGAAAGACGAACAGACTAACAGTATTAGCCAAGTTTGCGTCCTACAGCACGACAATTGCTGACAGTCATTGTTGCATCGCATAAAATGAAGTGTACCATTAAACTGTTTCAACTAGGGTCAGCTGAATGACCAGTCATATTCCCCATTCAAGCTGTCTATAAGCAACGTCGAACAGCAAGTAAACTGTACCTATTTTCAGTAGGCCGAGGCTTTTATTAGTCCATAATCTTCCGAGTCCACTCCTTTCTCCATACGCGGGTTGATAAAAACACAGTTTCCGGAAATATGTAGATCTTAAGTACCGGAAATGACAGATTTTTCCCTGAGTTTCCAAAAGCAAAACGTCATATAACGAGGTAAAATATATTTGGGAAAGAACAGAAGTAGATCCAAACTAAGACCCACTACATGGTAACTGGGGCGCCTAAAATCTCGCTTCGACGGGCCATGATCCTGTTGGTTTGAAGAAAACCATGCCAAACGGCTTCTCCAAAGTTGCGCTAATTTCACCCGTATTATGGGTAAAAGCGCGCCTTCCTCTAGGTTATGACGTTGCCCCAAAACGTGGATACAACAGGCAATCGATTTTTCAGTAAAAATATCTTAGTTTCGTGGTAGCTGCCTCCAGATTATTCGTTATGGGATTCTTAAAAGCAGCGGGAGAATCATTGTACCATTAAGATTAAGAAGGATTGCCCTACAAGCGGAAAACCAGCAATGGATGAAAGAGAACTTCTTATTTTTTTTCTTTTTTTTTGTAACGAACACATTTTTATCTGAAAACTTAAAAACAGGAATATGCTTAGTGCAATGGTGAGAAACTCGATTGACGTGTCGGTAACGAAGACAATTAAGAGAACTGACAAATTTTTTTAGTTTAATTAATTGTGACAAATGATATCTTCTCAAGAGCCTTTTATTAACGGAGCCAAAACACAAGTCTGACCGTAAAAACAAAGTTATGTTCCAAGGCGACTTCCACGAAAAGTTTATCACAGCACGAGTTGAACCGACAATTACACTGAGAGGAAGTATCACAGATGTTTCCATGGCATAAACAAACATAATAGGAATTTAAGCAGGAATTTCGAAAAACTGTGAGAAAAGGCATTGTCTGACAACAAGAAAATAATAATGATCTCAAGCCGACAAGGAGAAATCAGTTTTCGAGATGCAAAACATTTCGTGACACTGATAATAGCCACTAACGTCATGGTAAGTTTGAGCTATGAAAGAGACTAGTATCGGTCTGCTTTAAGTTCAACTGGAGTTAGCCCTTTCCCTCGGGCCTTTTAATTTCGTTATCCTTAAAATTCAAGAATTAATTAATAAGCAACTTCATCAAACCATTGTAGTTCTGTTACCAGCTACAAATGAAGTGAATAGCCAAAACTTTACAGCTTTAACGTGTTGTTTTCATGTAAATCCAAATTCCTTTAAGTAAAGTACCAGAAAATGTGTTTCAGCTAGAGGGGAGAATTACTAATCAGATACTGGAGTCAACGGGTTCATTGTGTTGGTTGGCGATTAAATTCCGTCATTCGTCCGGCATGGGATAAGCACAAGTTACTTCAAAATCTGTAACCAAGGCCACGACAGTTATACCCTGCGTGGCAAGCTCTGGACGAGAATACTGAGTACAAGCCGGTAAGAGAGCAGATGATACGTAGATGGAGTCTCACTCGCGTGTCTTCGTAGCAACCACTTGGGCGACAATGCGAAGTAAAGAAACGCACAAGAGCCGATGCAGAGTAGATGAAATCTCACTTGCGCGCCTAGGAGACAGGCTGTCGGCAAAAATACAAAATAACACGCGCCGAGTAGAAAAGATGATGAGCAGATGAAATCTCACTCGCGCGTCTTTGCGCCAAGCGCTCTGCGAAAATAACACGCGTGTAAGAGAGCTGATGAAATCCCACTCGCGCGCCTGGGTGACAGGCTGTCGGCAGAAATGTAAAATATACGCGCGCAAGTGAAAAGATGATGAGCAGATGAAATCTCACTCACGCGCCTGCGTGGCAAGCTCAGCAAGCCTCTGATAAACAGCTTCTTCTAGCTTTCCAAAAAGCCGCCTTCTGAGTCTCTCAGCATGCACAATTCAGGAGTAATACAGAAAGGAGCGACCTCAGTATTTGCGCCGTAAGATTCAGAGTAAGAGGGTGTGGTTCAAGTTTAGATCTCGCTCATGTTTCATCAAATTCCTGACTCTTCCACGTACGACTTAATTTAGTAAGAAAAAGGATGAAAAAGAAAATAAAATTATCACACTGACCAAGTAACCTAATAAAACAAGACAAAAATGGTTGATGAAGAACCGGAAAAACAAACCAAACGAAGGCTAAAATCTTTCCGTGAGCGTCGGAACATATTAATATCCTTTCAAACACGAATCAATGGTGTTAAGAAACACAGCGAACTGAAGTATGCAATTCTACTCTTATCTAAACATGGGAAATTTTCTCAGAGCTGTATGAGTAAGGTTCTTCCGCTAAATAGTCCTCGAGCAAACATTGTTCTATGTAGAGTAGTTTCGTGAAATTTCATTCAGTCACGTAAAGGCAAAGCAAAGAAAATGAAGTCGTGAGGACATTTAGCTAAACTAGTTCAAGAAACTCCATAGCAAAAGTATCCTTCGAAATACAGAGAAAAATGCACTACATGTAATTATGATATTATAAAGAAAAGGTAGAAACTTCGGTGTCCCTCCATCATTTAATATTTTGTTATGAGGAGAGCTGCACGCATCCGTCGCCCACATCTGATTTCCCTACAGTTTTCAGCAGTAATATACTTTCACGGTGACACCCACGTCATTAACCAAGTCCGGCCTATTAGGGTGCATTAAAGTAGCCGGGCTGAAAGTCCTTTCGTGGCAAAAAAGTTTCAAAGGAAACATGGAATTTCGTATCGCACCACCCCTGCACCACACTCAGGCTTTTTAATGAAAACTGATAGTTTTAATCCTTAGCTAATTTTCATCATTAATTACATCGTTTCTTTAAGTTCTTTTAACACGAGGGGATTATAAGATTTACAAAGTCTCTACACGAAAGGTCAATAGCATCGCTTAGTTGAAACACCAAATGATCGCGGTATTCTTACGTCCTCAGGTAGTGCTTGGCTGAAGGATTTCAGTGAATTCCTGGTTATTCACTTTTCTTTGCGCAAATATTCAACTCTTTCTGTAATTTGAGCATGCAATTCAAAATGTACTTAAGATGGTATAAATGAGACTTGGCGTATTTAACGTGATTTACGCATTAAAGAAGAGATAAACTAAAAGAGAATTATCAAAAAAATTCGCAACGTGATAATTTGAGGGGGAACATAACGAAGGCAAATCAGGTAGTTTATATGAGCGGAAGAAGCTCACGTTTTATATTTGGTGAAACAAGACAATGCGTGGCATTGTCACAGACAATACGTGGCAGCGCAATTCGGTCTATAATTCTTCAAGAATTAGACACCACCCAATTTTAGGCGCTTCTTGACTTTACGTGCTATCCAGTTAGAGGCGCCCTAAGCGCCGGACAATCGTCGGTGATACCCCACCCAATTTTTAAAGCAATCAGATTTTTGGCGATTTTCCATTAAAAGGCGTCACCCAATTCTGGGTTCAGTTCTATTGTAGAAACCAATTAGTTTTAGACGCCGACTAGTTGATGGCGCCATTTGATTTTAAGCTTTATTCCACTTTTGAAAAGCCTAATTAAAATCGCAGGCAAACTGAGGGCGATACCCAATTTCTGGCGCTATTGAAATGAGGCTTCGAGCAACTCCAGGGATCATCATCTAATTTAGCGATATATGGCTTATGGCCAAAATCGTGTTTTTTACATGAAGCGGTTTAGAAAACAAACAATTCAACAAACTCCTGCTGGTTACATTGGGAGTTCAAACGATTAAATTCACCGTTGTAAGCGTGGCCATCCTTAACGAGATTTCATATTTCGGAGACGCAATCAAGCAAAACAAATGTTTAGATTACAAGTCTTGCTAGATTGGTAATTTTTTGATAAGGAAATCAATAAATTCTGAGAAAGAGGTTTTTCCCTCGTGGTCGACATTCGAACGGGAAGATTGAGATGTATATGTTGTGGTTCAATTTTATCCTTGGTTCAAATTTTATTTTCCTTTGTTTCAAATTCGTTATAATATATTACAATACCCAAAAACAAAAGAAAAGAAAATTTGAACCAAGGATAAAATTGAACCACAACATATACAGCAACAGTGCGACCAGGCCTTCATTATTGGCGCTTCAGCAAGAGTATTCCTTCGCCTGTGGGGTAGTATGAGGTCTTGAGCAATGCGAGCTGGCAAGAGGTCTGCAAGGGGTCTGGTACTGTCTCATTATTTGTGCCAGACCCGTAGCAAACCTCTTCAAACTCTTCTCAAATCTTCCTGCGGGTGGAAACGCGCGTTCAGCAGGGGCTACAACATAGCAGACAAAAAAGACTGAGATACAGCTTTATACAGCAAAAAATATTCTTCCATCCTTCTTAATGAAGGATTAAGAGGCGCTTGCCAATTTTAGGTTTCTAAATCATCTGGTAAAAATTTCTAATTGTGATGTACACTTCATACATGCATAATTTGTCTCTATTACGCAAACTTTGGAGAGGACAACATTTCCTAGCCAATTCAGAGGTGATTAAGATGTAACTTCTCCCTTCAATATCCATACATTATCCAGCAAATAGGTAATGAGAATGCTCAAAGTTATCAGATAAAAATTGTTATAGAGTTTCAGTCGGTGTCGGGTGAGAATAGACTGACCTTCAGCTGGGGATACTCTCTGTATACAACACCACATTCTCTTCACCAGTTTACCTGAAAGAGTATAGCAGCTAACCGGGATAATTTCTACCTTTGTATTAAGATTTCGAGAGTCTATAGCCAATGACTCGACCCCATGCCGTCGTCGTTCGTTAATATAAGCTCAGTGACATTCAACTTGTCCAGTAGTGTTGTAGTTTTGGAGCCATATTTACACCTTTCCTTTACCAAGGTTGAAGATAATAGATCGCAGGTTCAGAGCCAAAAAGGCATTCTGTGGATCGCAAGTTCGTAACATTTCTTGCACTACGGCGGATATCTGGAAGGCTTCGAAGTATCGGCGATTAGACCTGCAAAAAATCGAGCTACTGAGAGGACAGCCCGAAAGTGTGAAGTGGAATACATCTGGATGATTCATTTTGTTTCAGGAGAAGGATTAAAGATAGTTTTACTTACTTGATTTTAGAGAGTCTTTGTAGGACAATGCTCAATTTTTCTAGTATTTTAGGATCCAGTCCCTTGTGTTGCAGCAAATTCACGGCTGTCCTGAACCAGAGTTCGTTTGAACAGCTATCCAGAAACACCGCGGTAAATGCTGAGAGTGTATAACCAAGGGGGGGTTAGTGTCTCTTCGGATAACATTCTTCGCCGCCTCAATTACATGCATGATGCAGAACGTTATTCGAATGCCTGGCTAGAAGCCATACTTTAAATCTAAATCTCAAGAGGCATACTGAAAGGAATGGGTTTTGGCTCAAAAAGTGTTTGTGTAAATCTTTGACTCTATACATGGCATGGCATGAACCGCATCAGTTTATCACGAGCTCAAACTTACGTGAATCGACAGACATCAGTAGCATTACATCGACAGCACTTCCGAGGAGAGCCTGGTAAGGAGAAAGATGCAGAACTTTCAGCTGAAAAAACCAACTTTTTAAAAACGCTCTGGATCCAATTATCCTATCTAGTAATTTTCCTGTAGATTAGTGCAATGATTTATCTAAAAGACCATGTCCTGTTCTCTCAATATGCTCTCCCTCTAACGACCTCCGTCTGAAAAAGAGTTCAAAACCTCCCCTCAAGGAGTGATCTAAAATAACAATAAAAAATATCTTCAATGAGAATTAACTTCCCTGCAATCACTGAATTCTGACCCCCCCCCCCCCCTCACCTTATGCACAGGCTTCATGTATGATAACACCACGTATACTCCCTCGTAAGTAAGAAAAATCTGCTTGCCCTGTCACGGAAAAAGAAAATGCAAATCATCTATAACAAACTAGAAATTACAGATTATATCAACCTGTGTTGGAATGATAATTATTAGAGAGAGATAAGCATCAAATTTATCTTTACAACATCACCCTCGAATCAGACACGAATAAAGGAAAAACATCAACAACTTAAGATTAACGCACTTGATTGTTAAACAAATTCTCCTTGTCAGCACCTTAGAAAGTTTATTATAAGTTTTTCATGCTGTCATGCAATGCTCTCCCGGAAGCGTTGCAAACAGCGATTTGTATTCATCTCCTTCACCGTCACCGTTATTGTCACTGTCGTCATCGTCGTTATCATTTCAAATTATTAGGATTTTCTCCAGCCCTTGAAAACCTTCCAGCTGGTCGTTGCATCTTAGTTCTATTTACACCCAAGTATTATAACGCTTGTTTCGAAGGCCAACTCACCAAATCGTCTTTCAAGTCAGTTTTTAAGACATCAAAGACATGTGCCAAATAATCGACTACAAGAGAACAAAAGGATAAAAAAACATTGGTTAAAATATTTGCCTTTCAAAGTCAATTTCAACTTGTACTTACATCATTCGCGTAAAGTTGAAGGTAGCTCTTTGGCGCAGTTTCATTTACAATTGATTCAAGAATTCACGGAAGTCAAAGACCGTGGTCTGATGTGTAACAAACTGATACTAAATTGCAATGAGTGAAAAAATTGACACGAACAAACAGTCAAAAATAGCTGAAATTGAAGCAGTTGTCTCACCTCTAGCTAGCGTTTTGAGGATAATAAGAGACGAAAGTATCCTGACA